TCTAAAAACATAATTATTTGTGTGCCTTTAGATATGAGATACTTTACAACTTCTCTAAGAACTTTGGAATATATGTAGCCAGCTGTAGCCAATCCAAATGGCAAAACATTAAAAACGAAATATCTATTTGCACCATCTATCTCCCATACAAAACCTAAATATTCTCTGTGCAATTCAACAATCTCTGTATCATGTATATGGTGGTTAGCACTCTTTTAGTCTTAAATCATAACCATATACAAAATCATGTTAATGAAAAATTTTCCTTGCTAACCCCCTTGCGTTTTCATATTTAAATCTAAATTTAAATAAATGAGGATTGATATGTCTACAATCCAATACCAACCTGGGTTTGCTCTATTTGTTAAAAGCAACAGTCAAAGGATTAACTACACAAGGTATTTCATTTACTTCTGATATACAACCTTTTGAAAGTAAAGTTTTAATTTCTGACTTAACAAAACTTGCATTATCAAGAGATGATCTGTTATTTCTAATAATTTTATGTTCTGGTTCAGTTTTGAAAGGTATCTTATACCAATTGTGATACATCAATTATGTAATAATTATAATACACCATTCATCAATAGTGTTTTTCAATCTTCCTACTGGACTAACCAGTTTTTCAACATTTGTAACAAGATCAACAGGTAGTATACAATCAAGTGTTATATAAACCGTGTCATTGGCGTTTCTTATTTTTGAATTAATACAATAATAATTAGCATCTGAGCTACAAAATAAGCTTGAACTATCTAAGTTTGACAAATACAAAGAATTACTTATCTTTAGTTTCTTTTCAGGACAATTATCTGCCCAGTGCCCCCTTTTTCTGCAACTGAAACATCTTCGTCTAGGTTTGAAGGTTTTTTTTTGTTTTTCTTTGCTTTACTCTTACGCTCTGCTCTAGATTGAGCTCGTAACATTTTTCTCTCATCTTCGGAGTCTTCTGCTATTGGGTTGGCAACATACTCATTCACCACTTTCCATCCGAGTTGTGAAGAATCTGCAAGTTTTATCAACTTTTGTCTTTCTTGAACAATTTCAATACCTTCTGAAATCCTGGATTTAGTGTTGTGTACAGTCTCTCTCGTCAAATCTTGAATCTCTAAACTTGACTTCACCTCCTTCAGATTTGTTAAAACCTTCACACCGTGCTTAAATTGATTTTCGTTGCCTTTCCTCTGAAAAGTATAGTTATTGGTCAGAGTTTCTTCCATTTTGGCCATTTGAGTCTGCGAAATTTCATGTTGAGTTTGTTGTAGGTTGGTCTGCAAATTTGTCAGTTTACTGTCCATTATAACGTTTATACTGTTCAATAAGTCCTGTTGATATAGTATTAGAAAGTTCTCTCGTAATAGCATTTCTTATGGGGCTGCTTAACACACCGATGTCCATCTTGACTGTATCAGTGTTGGGTAGAGAGTGATTACTACACAGGAATATTTCCCGCTCATTTATTACATGAACATGTAAACATGTGATTAATCGCATGATTAATCAGATGGAACATTAGAACAATAATTTTTCTCCATACTGCAAAACTCCGGAAAATTATATATCTTTCCTACTGAGATCAAAAGACAATGATTAATGAACAACTATAGCTTACCTTATTGCCTTCAACAAATCTTGCTATATTGTATAGGCACTTGTCTATTGTTAAGACCTATATATTGGCAACTAGTTGTTTTTGTGTTGTTGTGTCTAAATCTTTTTTTTTCATTTCAATAGGCAGCACATTTAACCCGTATGAAATACATGACTTTTCTTTGAATTACCCCAGCTGGACTTTAAGCGAAATTAGCCGGAAAAATGCTCGTAATATTTAAATTAGCAGCAGTCCTGTTCAGAAAGTCTAGCTAGACTTTAACAAAAGTATGTCTAAAAAAAGTCCAGCTGGCATTTTTGGAAAAGATATGGATGCTAGAAAGTCCAGCTGGACTTTTTATAGTCCGGCTGAACTTTTAGAAGTCCGGTTGGACTTTTTATAGTCCGACTGAACTTTTAGAAGCCCGGTTGGACTTTTATAAGATGATCTTGTTTTTCTTCAGATGGATGATTCTTCTGATTTAACTTGCACCATTCCCTGGCATAATCTGAAAATAAAAAAAAAAACAGATGGCATTATGCATATATATACTGTTTATTTCTTCTTTTTTTTTGTCATGACGAAATAGCAGAAACAGGAGATGAGTTATTGAGAAGCTAAATGCTAACTACCAAAAATTTATGTTTAGCCTAAATAATTTGAAGTTTTGCGCAGCATTAAGAAGAAGTTAAACATCTGATTCTGAAAATCACTTACACTATTAAACTACCACAGTAAATATCAAAATCATTACTTGATATAGAGGGAAGAATACAAAGCAACAAATTTATTTGCAAGAGGTTTATTATAAAAATTCAAAATAAGAAGTGACTGTGACAAGACAGACAAGATGGAATTGCATGCTTAAATATATCATGTAGGTTTTTTTTCTTTACTCTTAAAAATAAGAATTAAGCTAGCTTGTCATTATTTTATAATTTTTGAATAAAAAAGCACAAAATCAAAATAGAGGAATCCAATGTATTGTATTTACCAGAGGATGTAATCCAAATTACACAAACAAATCACCAATCTGTCAAAATTGCCATTGATGCCAGGACCATTCTTCACTATTCAATGTGAAAAGAACTATTTCCAAATATTATATCCCGTGTAAAATTCTCAATTTGTTCATGAAAGAAGACACATCTTTCCTTGTTGTCTGCCTGTTTATTCCAAATTCAAATTTTATTATAAACAAGGTATTAAATAAAACTGGAAATCAACATCAAGTTTAGAAAACCTGCATTTCTCCTTACTGCTTAACACAACAGACTTAGTCCATGCATGCATGAGCTAACCTAATAGACATTTGAAATTATTCAATGATTCAAACAGCTTGCATGGACTAAGTTAACAGTAGTTGCCTTCGTCCATGAATGCATGGAATAAGCGTAGTTCCCAAGTTTTCATGTTTACATAACATGAAAAGGTTTAGTCATACTATCAAGTATTTGCAATTTATTTCTTAAGGTAAGTTATAATGCACAATATGTCTTTAAATCATAATAAATAGGTTGAATATGAAAAATTCAACTGAGAAGAAAAAATGATATTTACATCAAATTAAAAAATAATCTAACAAACATCATGAAATGAGGCAGTATAAGGAGTAATGCAGGTTTTCTAAACTTGATGTTGATTTCCAGTTTTATTTAATACCTTGTTTATATTGGAATACAAGGGGCTTGCATATATTTCCACACATTTGTAATACAAGGGGCTTGCATATATTTCCATACATTTGTATTAAAATGTATTGAAAGCTGGAAAGGAGAATGTATGGTAATATATATGAATAAACCATAGCTAAGAGAGTATAAGAGCATGACCATGAGAAAACATTGTCAGCCAAGGCAAAGCCTAGATCTGCTTTATCGCCTTCTCAGCCATGTGTTATTTAATTTATGTCACCATCATATTAACCAATCAATTTCAAGCATTTCAAGGTGAAGTATAATAATATGAATTATTCTATTTTATAGTCTATCAAAGTATATATTTGTAGTCACAAAATCTCTAATTAATATAGTTTTAAAATTTGTATTTTTTAGATGCTGAGTCTGGGATGACCTTGAAACAGATTTTCGTACTCTTGATATGGTGTAACATTTGTTTGGGGCAAGATGTGTTTATCAACAGATGTCATGGAAACAGAAAATGCAAGGAGAAAATTATTTTTAAAGTAACAGTTAATACACAGGTTAGTCATTTCCATTATAAACAACTATAGTTACTGTGCTTCCATCAAGTTTCTGTTAACTTTTAAGTGAAACAAGTGGACCTTAGAAAGGGGATATGTATCTCAGAAAATTTATGAATAGGTACTGTTTAAGCTGATTGTAGAGAAAGGAGTAGGTCCAGTAAGACCCCTTTTTGGCCCCAAAATATAGCAGTTTTACAAAATTGTTAAAATGTAAACTTTATGTTATATATTGGTAAGAAGAATGCTTCTGCTACATAAATATGGGCTGTTTTTGACAATACAATGCACATATATCGGGTACTAGCATCCTTTAGTCAGGCTAAATTACTGAAATCTTCACAATTTTAGCATTTTAGTTAAATTTTAGACGTTTTCCGTCTAAAATGAAAGTAACCACATTTGTGTTCATTCTTAATATTGAAATTTAAGTTGTATTTGATGATAATACATAACATATATAAAGGTTGAGGATGAACACGGATGCGGCCACTTTCATTTTTGACAAAAACCATCTGAAAAGTGAATTTCGGCATATTTGATATATTTTTCATATTTAAGCTTGAATCGGAGCGTTTTTAATGAGTAAATCAGTTAAAATCTTTCACATAAACTAATAGAATCAACTGAAATAGACACTTTAGTGTTCAAAAAGTGTCCAAAATCATTCGTCATATGAACCTGAAATTTGAGGCCAAAATCGGCCCATACCGGACCTACTCCTTTCAGATATAAAAACTATATATTTATGGATTCATCAGAATCTGAACTTTTTATTAGCAGATAAGTTTAATCTATTTTAGTCTCTGTTTGTCTCAACTACAAAAACAAATTTGTGAAGGTGAAACATTTCAATTCTGCATGTCATCATCAACATTTAAAGCCTGTGGTTTCAGTTTTTCTTATTAATAACTTTTATCACAGCATTCATAGAATTTCATGAAATTTGGACAGAATCCGATCTTCATGATTTATAAAATAGAATCTGAAGCATTTCGAACGATAAATTGCCTATATGTAAAAGTGTTTAAAAAAGCTCACCAAAAATCTTGCTTTCTCTCAGGTTTATGCATCAACTTTAAACACTTTTCATTTGAGATAGTGGACTTTTATATTTTGGGCCCAATAGGACCCGTGATGTACCTTATCCTGTATGATTCCCTGTTTAATTCAGTAATCTATGATGTATTTTTTCTTTTTCAGTTTAAAATGAAACCTGACTATTTAAAGATACTGAGGATAACAGATAAAGTCAATGGAAAAAATTTCACCCTGATAAACCCAGTTATACTAAAGATAAAGAGCTATCCACCCAAACTGATATATCCACTCAAATTAGTACAGGTACAAAACCGCACAGGTTAAACAGATCTGACAAATATAAAATGTTGTCCTGACCATGGTCTAAAATCTCTGTGTCTAATGATTTGATTGTTACACCTATTATTTAGATGTTCCCTTTGTTTTTTAAAAAAATTTGAATCCATTGTGTTAAGATAGGACATGCTTACAATAAAAAAAATGTCATGAAAAAAAGTAAGACTTATAGCAGAGAACAACACAATAATATTATAACTAACCAATTATTAAAAATCTAGCATTTTTCAAATAGAACCAAAGCTTGATTATAAGTGATCTAGATGTAGCTTTCGTCAAACATAATAATTAAAAAGTAGTCAGCCAAGAAAACAGGACATACTAAAACAAAATGGAATTTGTTCTCAACACGTACATAAAAGGTATTCTCTTGGTATATTAGAGAAAAGACCAACTTCAACATTTAATTTCAATGTACCACTTCATATTTTTGAAATTATATTGACATTGTTAATATAGTTTAAATAATTCTCAAACTTTACAATTCTATAAACACTTTATTTCTCAAAATAATATATGCTGTTGACCAATTTTGCAGCTACTGGACTTTAATACATATCTTTATAACATCAAACGATGTATTGATACAATTCTGATAAATCCAGATCTAGTTTATTCCAAGAATAAATTACAAACCACATACATTAGATACTCCTTTCATTTTACCTTGGTTTGCATTTTCATACACAATTATGTTATTCAACCATAGTGCTTCAGTAAAACTTGCAGTTATCAATCCAAATTAATTTATCCACTAATTACAATTATGTTCAAATTTATTGTTATCATATTTATTAACTGATTACAATTTTGTTAAATTTGAATGTTAATCATTATATCAAATGGTTACAAGCTTGCTATATTTTATTGTTATCAACTGAATACTATAGACCACTGTCGAGTTCGTTGCATTTCCATCAAAAACTTTGGTTTAAGTGAACATCATTCGTGCGATTAGGAGCATCGCCACTTCTTCCCATGTTGAGGGAGCGGTTGAAAAAATATGATGCTATATTGCACGAATTATTTGGCAAATTAATTTCTTATTGTTGATAATTAGCACTGCTGTCATCATGGAATTGTGATTAAGTATCTACGGAACAAACATTATTTCTAGTTTATCCTGCATAATGACGATCATGAAAATGCTTGATGAACTTTAATAGTGCAGGGATACAGGCGGGCCCCTCTATCTGGTAAATGACGTCATAAAGGCGCACATAATTGAGGAATTTTTCTGGTGAAGGACATTACTCGAAAGTGGTCTATTATGTTAAATATAATGTTATATACTTTATCAATTGATTATCATTATGTTTAAACTTATACTGGTTAACTTCTGTCCGTCCTTCCGTCTGTGTGTCAATCTGTCCGTCTGCTCATCCATTAAAGTTTAAGTCATGATTTTATCAGAAACTACAAACCAGAGATTATTGAAATTTGGTATGAAGCTTCATGTTATCATGCTGTACTGTGTGATTCATCACTCACCCATTTCCTGTTTATTTTTAGAAGGCTTCATGTGAACATGTTATATTGTGTGATATATTTTCACATTTATTGCTCATCAACTTCCTGTTTTGGGAACACTTATGAATTCTGACACGTAACGGCCATGTAGACAATTTTTATTACTTTTTTGGTAACTACACATCAGATCTTCTCAGGCTTCATGTAAATATGCTTTACTGTGTGATGCCTTTTCAAGATCATCCCTTTTTAACTTCCTGTTTTCTAAATACTTGTATATTATTACACATCATTACCATGTAAGAAATTTTTGACACATTTTTCTCAGGAAAAATGAATCAGAGCACCTGGAAATTTGGTATCTACATTCATGTTAACATGCTATACTGTGTGATTTGTATTCACATCCATCGCTCATCACTTTCCTGTTATCTGAATAATTATAGCTTTGGAATCATTAGTGGGCAATAGCTCACACTTCAACTTGTTAGCCTTTTTTGTCAATTTTGAGTACCTTCAGCTTTATATTATTGTAGATAGTTAACAGTAAGCCATATGAAGTATTTTACCACAAGGACAACACGGAGAATTACCCTGGATGTGATGTTAATTCACTGGATCAACAGTGTGAGAAAGGTTTCAAGGTATTTTTTATTAATTAGTGATTACTTAGTCCTCATCATGTATACTTGCACAAGAGGCCATCACTCTAATCCTCTACTATTGCCTATTCTGTCTCTCCCCATGTCATTCCCATGCTTCTCAGATCGCTCTCTGTTGTGCGTCGCCGTGTTTCTTTTGGTCTTCCTCTCTTTCTTTTTCCATCTAGTGTCCCAACGGAGCACTGTCTTTACTAATTCATTTTTGTCTTTCCTTAAAACGTGGCCTATCCATTTCCAACGTCTTTCTTTAGTTTTTGCTTGTATGTCTCCTTGTGATGTTAACTTATATAGGTCTTATTGCTGGTGGTTTCGGCCAGAATGTGATTAATTTGCTTGGATATATGTGACTAGAAAAATACTGCAAAATATATGTTATTTGTAGGCAAAATTAAATTGCAGTGAAGTTTGCTAAAAGTACCCTTACACGGAAAAAGTATCCATAAGTCCCCTCTCAAATGTTGATATTGAATCTTTAACATCCTTTTTGAAATTCCACAAATCAGGAAATTTCTACTCGCTCAAAAATATGTCAACAACTAAAAGCTTTCTAACATGTCTAACGGTTTTTATGACATATATTTTAGGGATTTTGATGTAGTTGTGACAACAGATAGGAAAATTACCCCTATCAAACGAGAGGAGGCCAGGAGTGTAATAATAATGTTTCTAAGGGTTTTTAGTCCCCTAAAGACGAAGTCGAAGGGGACTTTAGGTTTGCACTCCATCTGTCTGTCTGTCCATCAGTCATTCCGGCAAATCAGTTTTCCACACTTTTTACTTTGTGCTTGAAGATATTGATTTGATATTTGGTGTATTGTTTTATCATGACAAGTTACAGATCAACTTTGAATTTTGTTCCGGTCTGATGATTTAGTGCAGAGTAAGGTCCTTGAACTTAGAAAATTCACTCAAATAATCAGTTTTCCACACTTTTTTTTTGTCATGATTGAAGATATTGATTTGATGATTGGTATATAGTGTTATCATGACAAGTTACAGATCAACTTCGAATTTTGGTCCGGTCTAATGATTTTGTTCAGAGTTATGGTCCTTGGACTTAGAAAATTCACTCAAATAATCAGTTTTCCACATTTTTTTTCAACATGCTTGAAGATATTGACTTGATATTGTTGTATAGTTTACACAATGACAAGTTATAGATCAAGTTAGCATTTTGTTCCAGTACAATGAATTTTTAACCAGTAGGGGACTACAATATATGTATTGTCAGGCAATACTCACAGAATGCTTGTTATATATATTTTAGGGATTTTGCTGTAGTTGTGACAACAGAAAGGATAATTACCCCTATCACATGAGAGGAGGACAGGAGTGTAGTATTAATGTTTCTAGTACACATTGTATTCAGTATGATCCATTATGGTAGGTATTATATAAGTGCATGTTGCTGTTGTAAATTTTAAGTACCCAGTATTAGTGAATATAAAATAAGCCAGTTTCGTAAATAAAAACTATTGTGAATTTGTGATTTACATTCACCGCTTTTATAGCTGCCACCAAAATAGGAAAAACCCAATAAACATTTCGAGAGGTACACCTCTAAGGAGCCAAAAATTTCTAGAATTAAACTTTTTTTCTTAACCTGATTTTTGGGTTTATATGAATGTAAGAAAGTAATTGATAAAGAAAAAATCATATGGTGGTGCACTTCCTTTTTTGCTACAGCCACTTGAAAGTACCCCATTTTTAATGATTTTCCCATTTTTCATCAATTTTTACCCATTTTTCAGTTTCACAAATTTTTTTTCAAACTTTCACTAAAGATGAAGTGGACCAATCTGAGTAAATATAACTTAAAAAACTATAGGTTAGTGTTAATGTAAGAAAGTTTTATAAAATTTTGTTGCTTTTTCAGGTCAAATTGACCATGCTGTCAATTTTGTAAATTTGGGATTTTTCTCTTTTTTTTTTAGAACAAAAAGCATATTTTTTGTTCAATCATTTCTTTGTACCCCTCACCCATTTTCTCAACATTTTGGCTGATGACACTGACTGGATTGATTATAAATTTGAAAATTTTATTCCTCAAAAACTATTTAATTATTGAAAGTACACAGTTTTTACACTGAGTTTAGTTTGATTATAATATTTTTTAAATTCATTGATATTTTCCACTTGTATCACATGTTTTGGAAATAATTCCGAACGAGATTTCAACGAGACTGAAACATCAGAAGAATACATCCTTAACTCATTTATATATATATATATATATGAATCGGTCAACAAATAGATCTTGTATTACTTGAGAAAGAAAAGATGTGTACTACTTGCCGTATAAGATAGCAACTTACCAGACAATATGCTTGAAAGTGAATATGAAAAAGTCCTGTATGGTAATCCAAAATGACAATAAATCTTAGACTCTTATCTTTTATTAAACTGATATACACAATGAAAATGAATGTGACACAGTTATTCAGATACAAAAACTTGGTGATTATCATATATATCTTGCCATCAAAAATCAAAACCTCGTATAGACCTTATGGCTATTTGGAAATCTGCGTGGCTTGACCCGAGAATCTGCGCCTCTTGAACTATTGACGTCATACAACAATCTCTTTTCCATTGTGGCATCAGATATTTTCTATTGTGACATCAAAATTTTACAGTAACCTTTGAGATGTATAGTAAAGGCGGACAAATAGGGATAAGGTGTTTTGCCAAGGACCAGTTGCTGGCCTGTAAAGCTTTATACCGACACTAAAAGGGCCTTCTTTTAAACCAGAATATCAAGTCGATTATTTCAAAATGAAAAGTGTTTCGAGTCGATAAACTTTTAAGAAAGTGAAATAGATTTTTTTTTACCTTAACCCTTAGACTGCTGCATTCATTTCTATTGTACTTTTGTGTATTGCTGAATAAAATTTTAATCACTGATGAAATAAACATGTTTACTTACAATTGCAATATCTTTGTAAATATTGAATATTCATCAATAAAAGTTATATAAAAAAGTATTGTTATATTCTGTATTTTTTATTTATTTTATTTTTGTGTGAATCTCTGGTCATTTATTACCTGTACAGGTGCAAATAGAGGTAAACAAAGGTAAATTTATTTTTTTTCATGTTTTATTAACACAAATCCATCAATGTAAAAACTTTTCAAAGGTATCCATGACTTCAGAATTGAACCAATATTGTTAAAAATCTCTTTCATGAACTAGTTCCATTGCGATTATCAAAAGAAAAAAGTTTCTTCTCGGACCAACGTTTTTTTTTATGCAACTATTTTCTGGTATTTTCCTTCCGACTTTCGACTTTTACTTCCATGTACAAATATGTTTTAACAACAAGTTCATTGATATAACTTTCGTCAATAAATAATCTTGACAAACATAATGTTTGAATCTATTGATGTCAGTGATCAATATTAATTCACAGTTGAAAGGCGCAATGATAAACATCGCAAATCCTGTTTCATGTCATCCATTTCGAACATCGTCTGGGGAATCCCCGTGGTTCCCGCTTTAAAAGTCTTCTGTTCGCTAGTTTTGCTAGAATGTTTCTATTTCCATCTATTATATCTTCTGTTCTCGTCCAAATCATTTAAATTGGCCGCCGCTGTTACATCGTTATCATTGAAATACTTCTGAACGTGTTGGCCATCACGCCAAACAATTTCTGCCATTTTGTTACTTTTTTCATCTAAATTTTTCACTTTCGGTTTCATGGCTTATACCTGATTTAAAGTCAAGAGAAACTCGAAAGTACGCCGAATTTTAATCAATCAGAATCCATACAAGTCTAAACTGCCGCAATCTCATGAATATTGACTCCGCCCATTCCATGGTAACTGTGTAAACAAATGAGATACGGAAACGACAATAGTCGCGCCTAGCAGTAGAGGACTGCTTTATCGGAACAACAATAGTCCCGCGTAGCAGTCTAAGGGTTAACTTTGCTACTGAATCATTGACATTTACAGACAAATATAGATTTTGCTGAAATTTTATAAAATCCTCTAGATTTCAAACAAATTTAAATCCTTGAGTAAACAAAGTGCAGACTTAGACATACTAAATATTAAAGTCAAATGTGTTATTTGGTAAAACAAACAATGCTAAAAAAAATTGTTGAGGTATGCAATGAAAATTAAAAAAAAAAAACACACATATTTTCAATCTTTGTTTTAACTATGATCCAATGTGATAATAACTTTTGAAAATTTATTTGAGATTTTAGCTAATAATGTAGGCCTATTTAGGTCATAAGATACAGTTTTGATCCTACAGTGAATTTTTGACGAAAATTTGCATACAAACTATTTTTCACCTAGTCATGCAATTCAAATATGTAATAAAATATACCTTCATGTGCTGCTTTTAGAGATAAATGGGGTTGAAATTTTAGACATTTACTAAAAATTTCGGTTTCTTAGACATTTCTATCCTTTGGACAGACATACCCAAATTTTTGGTTTCAAAAGATGAACACAAGCAGATTTTTTTAAGTACAATTGAAATATCTTCTTTACATAAGTATGTCCTAAAATGCATAACAATTCTTTATAAATAATTCATTTTTATTAAAGTTTCATGATTATAGAAAAAAAACATAATATTTTGCTGTATATTTATGTAATTTTTTTAAATTAAATCGGTGATTTGTTCATAAATATTGGTACAAATAATCATTATATATAAACCAAATCTCATTTTAAAAAAGAGGGATCAATGTACTCATTTTCAAGTTAATGATTAAAATCAGTGGAAAAATGCATCTTTTCCCGATATGTCAAAGTTTGACGTCAAGAAAAAAAACATTTTACTTTAGCAATGTCATTACCTACACTGTAACTGTATCGTATGCCCTTAAGGCGTTATTAAAAATACTCCTTTCTGTGTTTTCTTTATTAGAAGAAATATTATAGATTTGAATGCTTTTTTTTTGAAAATTTATCAGGGGTTCAATTTAGCGGTGGTCCGAGGTCCGCGACCTTCCATTTTTGCAGTCGGACTCTCGTTTTGGTTACAAGCTACGCCCGACGGACCTTCTGTTTGAAAGAAAATAAAAATAAACTTTGCCGACCTTTTTAAACAAAAATTTCCAAACAATCTCAAAATTTATTTTCATCATTATTATTTATGACAGCGATGTTCATTTTGTTCAACCGCTAGCTTTATACCGAAAATTGCCAACTAGTAATGTGTGAATTCCGAGTAAAATCGTATCTGACTGACAAAACAACATTGAAAAACATTGGATGCCATAAACCGGAAATGAAGAAAATAACAAAAAACGGATCCAATTCCGGAGCGGATAAGGGTAATTCCGGGTTTGCTGATCAAATACAATGAAAAAATAATAATTCCAGGCAGTTGACAAAACACATCTATGATGATAAAATATAAACACTAGAATTGAAAACCAAAAGATATATTGAAAAGAAAGAAAAAGTAGGAAATATTTTTTTAAAGAAACTCAAAATTACTTTTAGTTCATAAATTTTCATCTCAAAATCCAAAAAAATGTGACAGTAATTTTCTTTATCATTAATAAATATTGATATTACATGTAGATTTTTGTATAGTGTAAACGTATTACTACAATTCCAAGAGGTAATGTCTTCTCAATTTTAAAGGACCAGTACAAATCTGGAAGTTTCTTATCACATGTATATACGTCTCTGCTTAAACAGCTTTGAATATGAACTGTTTTATAAAATGGTATAAGTAGTAATAAATTACCAATAGTTGAGACAACACACCCACCCATGGTGACACCCTCCTCAATAACAAAAAAAAAAAAAAGAATCTGAATTTATAGTATACAAGACAATTGCAATTGTTATTAAATATTTTATACAACAGTGACTTTGACAATGAAACAAGTTGACCTAACACCAACAGCACATTAATTTTGTTACTTGTATCTTACTATGTTAGGAAATATTTCAAGTAAAAGTAGGACCTGGAATTTAGGTTGTGGACCTTTCAGTTTGGAGTGTCAAAGGTCCTGGACCTTCCAGTACCAAATGTTAATTTGAACCCCTGTTTATATGAAATGAAAGCAAGTGACCATCACATTTTGCATAAAGCAAAGGCAAAACACAGCATTCAATTAATTTATTTGCAGGTTTTCGAAATAAAATAATATATATTATTCACATTTTTTATCTAAAAATAATACTTTAAGCACAAAACTTCGACAGAAATTGTCTGAAAATAAAGCAGTATCATTCAACATGAAATCAATCATAATACTTCATGAAGCTGAAATTTGCATCTAAAAATGTCAATTTCAAAGCAGAAAGCTCATAAAATTTTTTATAAAATTTCTATGATTATTGCATGTGTATATTCTCATAATCATGATAATAATTTATTGTTATATATTCATATCAATTATCCATAT